TATTAACAGCAATTATTATATGATGCAATCAAACTTATAGCAAAATGTGGTAGTTCTTAGAGCTGGCCGTCCGGCCAAACTGAGCTCTCGGGGGGGAAGAGCCTTGGTGAGAGAGGTAAAGAAGAACCCAAAGATCACTGTGGCTGAGCTCCAGAGATGCAGTCGGGGGATGGGAGAAAGTTGTAGAAAGTCAACCATCATTGCAGCCCTCCACCAGTCGGGGCTTTATGGCAGAGTGGTCCGACGGAAGCCTCTCCTCAGTGCAAGACACATGAAAGCCCGCATGGAGTTGTGAGATGGTGAGAAATAAGATTCTCTGGTATGATGAGATCCAGATAGAACTTTTTGGCCTTAATTCTAAGTGGTATGTGTGGAGAAAACCAGGCACTGCTCATCACCTGTCCAATACAGTCCCAGCAGTGAAGCATGGTGGTGGCAGCATCATGCTGTGGGGGTGTTTTTCAGCTGCAGGGACAGGACGACTGGTTGGAATTGAGGGAAAGATGAATGCGGCCAAGTACAGGGATTTCCTGGACGAAAACCTTCTCCAGAGTGTTCAGGACCTCAGACTGGGCCGAAGGTTTATCTTCCAACAAGACAATGACCCTAAGCACACAGCTAAAATAATGAAGGAGTGGCTTCACAACAACTCTGTGACTGTTCTTGAATGGCCCAGCCAGAGCCCTGACTTAAACCCAATTGAGCATCTCTTGAGAGACCTAAAAATGGCTGTCCACCAACGTTTACCATCCAACCTGACAGAACTGGAGAGGATCTGCAAGGAGGAATGGCAGAGGATCCCCAAATCCAGGTGTGAAAAACTTGTTGCATCTTTCCCAAAAAGACTCATGGCTGTATTAGATCAAAAGGGTGCTTCTACTAAATACTGAGCAAAGGGTCTGAATACTTAGGACCATGTGATATTTCAGTTTTTCTTTTTTAATAAATCTGCAAAAATGTCAACAATTCTGTGTTTTTCTGTCAATATGGGGTGCTGTGTGTACATTAATGAGGAAAAAAAAATTAACTTAAATGATTTTAGCAAATGGCTGCAATATAACAAAGAGTGAAAAATTTAAGGGGGTCTGAATACTTTCCGTACCCACTGTATGTATGTAGTGCATGTGGCAAATTGGTGGCAAATTGGTGACAAGTGAAAGGATTGAAAGGGAGCTGCATATAAGTAAACACAGCCATACAGCTCTGATGACAAAAGCCTAGTTACGACATGATCTTTCCTGACACCTTGTATGTCTATATATCTCATTTTGAACAGCGGTAGCATCTTATACAACAAACAGTCACACAAACACAGAAGCTGTATCAGAAAATTAGCCTGGGAATAGAGTTTTCTGTGACTGTCTTGGCTGTATGTGACCAGACCCAGCAACTCTCTCATTTGAAGTGTTTTGCAGCCTCTCGAGCCTGCAAGGACTTGGCACTCGCTAACAAAGCTAATCTTTGTAGGGAAGTACACTGGGTTCACCGAGCTGTTCTCAAACTTAACTTTATACTGTTTCCAGGAGAGTTTTACTTACATTTTCAGGGAATTATGGTTACAGAACAGATAAAGAAAGAAGGTGAAAGCAAAGTAGAGTCATGCCAGCCAGACAGTAACAAAGAACTAGATCAGTTTACCCACCACAAAAGCTGCCAAATCAGTGTTTTTTATCAGTTTTATCAAATCAGTGATATTTAATGAAAACATCCAGCCTGATAATACTTTTCAAAGTGCTTTAAGTAGGAGAGACAGAGAGTTATTGTCACTTTTGACAAATTAAAAAATAAAAATAAACAATGCATCTAAAGACAGCCAAAGCCATTTGTTGACTTGTTTTGATGTTGCTGTGAAGAAAATTACCATATTTAATGTCAGTGTTTCCTGAAAAGCTTTATTATGATTTTCATAGAGAAAACAAACAAACCTAACCTAAAGAAAAAATGAAAGCCTGAAATAAAGACAAAAATACATAAAATATAGAGTTAAGAACAACAGAGAAAAGTGAATGAATGATTTAGGATTCATAATTAAATAAAATGAGAAAAGACAACACAATAAAAAGAAGAAATGAAAAATTAAAAGAACAGACAAAAAACAACAAAAGGTAAAAAAAAAATACTATAAAAAAAACTATATATAACATAAAAACAAAATAAAATGAGAAAAGACAAGAAAATAAAAGAAAAAAGAAAAAGTGACGGCACTTTTGTGACGGCCCCTTTGAGGACTAAATCATTTTGCCATTATGGTGGTGCAGGGCCGAGATGATTTCTCTCCCTTTCTTTAATTTGACAGGCTAATACTGCAGGCATTACCCTCTCTGGACCTACTGTACGTAATTTCATACCAATAAACGTTACAACATCCTACATAATTTCCTAACAGGTACCTATAAAAAAAAAAAAACAAGTGAAAATGGTATTGGGAGAAGTATTTGGTCATATTAAGAACATATTTGTGCCAGTGTTACGCAGGTGAAGCGCTGTAAAGTTTTGCTGAGGCAGCACTCTCCATATCCACGAGTTTGATATAACCATTAATATGAAATGACATTTATCTTTCTTTTTTTTGTCCTATTTAGATCTTTACAGGAGCTCTTATGAAATCTGTGAGCAAGCGTTTTTGTCTGTCATTCATGCACAAACACACACGCACGTCTTACCTTGTCCTTCAGGTGTTTCTCCGAGTGGATTGACTTCGACTTGAGTGGCGTCGACTTTGAGGAACAGATCATAGAGTCGCTTAATCTGATCTGCAGCCTGTGACACAACCACAGAGAGTACTAATTACCCAGCTGCACACTTGCAGCAGAGCTCTGAGAGCTTATATAAGCCATTCAAACTACATTGACATCTCTCAAGCATGGCTAAACACATATATACACTCTGGGTCATATACTGTACACAGTCCAATAATGAGGGCACATCTTTAACTGGACATTTGCTCTGCTGGTTGGAACGGTCACTGCCAAGACAATGAGAAGTTGCCTTGGAAAACTTCAAACATGACACAAATTTATTTGGAGTCGGCAGGGCCATTAACTCAGTGGGGAGTTGCGGTGGCAGTTAATGCGTCCCTGCTGAGAGACACGGCAACATCCAGCAGCTCTCTCTAATTCCCAGCGGCTATGCAAATGAGCTTACGACTGGAAAAAGGCTGGAAATTGGATAGTGAGATGCTTTTGCTAGCTACAGGAGATGTTGTACTTCTGTAACACTTTGTTGATGATTTATTATTTTGTGATTTTTCAACAGGTTTCATAATAATGTTTTACATATTTTTGTAATACCTCTGTAGATTCTGTAACTTTTCATACTTTTGTAAAAATTTTCATGGAAGAGTTCATATTTTCGTATTTCATAATGTTTGTGATTTTTTTTTTACTATATATAAAATAAAATTGTATTTCATATTTTAATATTTTGTCCTTTTTTGTAAAGTTTACAATACTTTTATATTTCATACGTTTGTGATACTTCTACATATTTTGTATTATTAGATACTTTAGTAACACTGCTGTGAAATATCTTGTGTTCATATTTCCATGAAAGATTTAAAATCGCTTTATGTCATTCAGCTCAGTTCAGATTTCTTAATACTTCATACTTTCATAAAAGTTGCATTTTGTCTTTTAGTTACATATTACTTCATTACTACATTGTACTTCATATTTCATACTTTGTAACATACAATGTTTATATTTTGACTTTCAGTAACAATTTTGTAATCACTTTCATATATATATACAGTGGGGCAAAAAAGTATTTAGTCAGCCACCAATTGTGCAAGTTCTCCCACTTAAAAAGATGAGAGAGGCCTGTAATTTTCATCATAGGTATACCTCAACTATGAAAAACAAAATGAGAAAAAAAAATCCAGAAAATCACATTGTAGGATTTTTAAAGAATTTATTTGCAAATTATGGTGGAAAACAAGTATTTGGTCAATAACAAAATTTCATCTCAATACTTTGTTATATACACTTTGTTGGCAATGACAGTAAAAGTTGCATTTTGTCTTTTAGTTACATATTACTTCATTACTACATTGTACTTCATATTTCATACTTTGTAACATACAATGTTTATATTTTGACTTTCAGTAACAATTTTGTAATCACTTTCATATATATATATATATATATATATACACAGTGGGGCAAAAAAGCTGTATATATATATAGTGTCCTCCACTAATATTGGCACCCTTGGTAAATATGAGCAAAGGTGGCTGTGAAAATAAATCTGCATAATTTATCTTTTTGATCTTTCAAACAAAACATTTACAAAAGTATAACCTTTTATTGAAGTAAAACAATTGAAAGTGGGGAGAAACTCGCATTATGAAATAATGCATGTTGGCCACTATTATTTGCCTCCCTAGAAATTCTTATGAGTAAAATATCTCTGAAGAGATATTTATAAGAGATAAGAAATCTCTTTGCCCACGGTTAAACATACTGCTGGATCTTTAAAGTTGTATACCTATTTTTCTGCCAGAGGTACTGGACATCTTGTTCAGATGCATGGTATCATGGATTCTATCAAATACCAACAAATGAAAAAATCTAAACCTGACTGCCTCTGTTAGAAATCTTATAATGGGCCGTGGTTGTATCTTCCATCAGGACAATGATCCAAAACAAACATCAAAATCAACACAAAAAAATGTGTCATTGAGCACAAAATGCGTTCTCAGTCCTCTGACCAGAACCCTAGAGAATGAGTGGGGTGAACTGAAGAGAAGAAGCACCAACATGGAGCTGTGAATCTGAAGGATCTGGAGTGATTCTGTATGAAGGAATGTTCTCTGATCTCTTTTCAGGTGTTCTCCAAACTCATCAGGCATTATAGGAGAAAACTCAGAACTGTTATCTTGGGAAAAGAACGTTGCAATAATTGGGTGCCAATAATTGTGGCCAACGTGAACGAGAGAAAATTTCATAATGAGATTTTACCCCACTTTCCATGGTTTTACTTCCATGATAGGTTCGAATTTTTTGAATGAAAGATCAAAAGAATAAACCATGCATATTTATTTTCACAGCAACCTTTGCTCATATTTACCAAGCATGCCAATTAGTAGAGGGCGCTGTATATGTATGCATATGAAGTACTTTTTTAGTGTTTTGTACAGTAATCTTGAAAATCTTTAATAGATTTTACATTTCATACATAAAAAAAATATTTCATACATTTGAAAAACTTTCATGTATGATTACATAATACTTTTGTTTTTCTTTTTTAGCAAAAATGTTATTGATTTTGTAATATTTTCATATTTCCTCTCTGTAATAATTCTGTGGATTATGCAACCTTTTATATGACTTTCACACACTTCGAAGATTTAATAATGCTTTTACACTTGGCAACGTACAATTTAAGCATTTCGACTTTCTTCACTTTTGTAGATTTTGCAAGTGCTAACAATATTTCAGATGTTTGTAATACTTTTAATTTAATTTGGAATATTTAACAATTTTGCTAAACTTTTATGGATAATTAGATGATTTATACAGTGCTTCGTAACATAAAATGTCCATATTTTAACTTTCTGTGACAATTTAGATTTTTCAAATCAAAAAAAAAAAAAAAAAAAAGGAACATGTCATTGTCAAAGTAGACTTCAATGCTCTTAATCACATCTCCTAAATTCACAAAAGGTAAATGTTATTATTTTAAAGGATCCATAAATCTATCTACAGTTGTTTATTCATTTCATTAATAGGGGCAGCATCTGAATCGGTTTGACGAGAGGTTAAGACAGGAAAGATAACCGACTGCTTTTTGCTTTACACTTTGCTATTTCATGTGCTTTCTGAAAGCATGTCATCCTAACAAATTCTACTTTCAAAGCATTTAAGAGCTAAAATGACATCTCCCTTTCCCATAGTCAATGGAAGCTCTTTTGATAATGAGTGCATGCTGACAGAAAACATTGTCGCGCCGCTCTCATCAGCACGCACAGGCGAGCGCCAGCTCGTTGTCATATCGCAGCACATCAAAGTGGTGAAGCTAAGTTAACGGTATACTGCATCCCACACATTCTAATTAGCACGGACTCAAATAGATCACAAAAGATGCAGAGTAAAAGGATGACTTTAGAAGAGCCAAACCGACAAGCCAGACATTTAGCAGTAATTTCCATAATGCCAAGCTTCTCGAATGTCTATACAGATAAAATCATACACTTGTATACAGATAAACAATGTTGAGAGATTCTTTAAGTTAATATGATTTCATTATGGCATGAACTAATTCAGACTCCTTCAGTGTTTATTGTGAGTTAACAAACTTTCACTCACCGTTTATTGTGATTCTTTACAAACTTTACCTGCCGTCAGTTTTAATAAGAACATTTCCACTAAATTAAGAAGGGAGATGAGGTGAATATTAAAAATTTGAAGTTTTTAAAATGTTGGGTAATTGTTTATTTATATTAAAATTTTACAGAAATTAGAAGAAAAAAATCTCTCTCTCTGTGTATATATATATAAAAACCAACAAATTAATCTGAAAATAACTGTCTGTAATCATACTATAATCTCAATTCATTCATTCATTAAACTGAAAGTTTTAAATATACATTTGACATTATTAATATATTATTTTCATATTTCAACTTTCTTAAACAATTTTTTTGATTTTACAATATTTTTGTATTTGTAATATTTCCTTAGATTGTGCGATACTTTAATATTTCATACTTTTGTAGCACTTCCGTGAAAGACTTTTGTAATACTTTCATATATTGTACTCTCAATTTATGTACAAATTTCATACTTTCTTAACACTTTTATGGACTATTTTGTCTTTTAGTAACAATGTTGTACATTTCCAAATATTTTCGTTTTTTAATAGATTTGTAATAATTCCGTAGATTCTATAACATTTGATATGATTTCCACACACTTTAATTGAAGATCTCATAATGCTTTCACACTTTAGCATAACATTTCAATATTTTGACTTTCTGTAACAATTTTGTATATGTTGCAATATTTTTTTTTATTTCACACTTTTGGAACACTTATATTTTGCAATTTATACTCTGTAACACTTGTCTTGAAGATTAGATAATGATTTATACAGTACTTTGTAACATATCATTTGTCAAATTTTGACTTTCCATAACAATTCTTTCGATTTTGCAAAATAGACCTTCATGCTTTTAATCACAGCAATCTCCTAAATTCTCAAAAATATAAAGAGCAATAGGTAATAGTATGTAATACAGCAATAGTAATACAGTAATCTGAATGCTAGATTTATCAATATTTATAATACATTATCTGACATTTTTATATCTGCTGGTATTTTGACCCATATAAAGTGACAGGCTTTGAAAAACACCGGTGCTGAATCTCCTGTGCTAGGAGAGGACTCGGAGACCTGTACAAGTCCTTGGTATAAATATCATTAAATTTTAGAGATTTAAACTTGTGCATATTGTTTACGGGGAAGGTTTATAGGTGGCAGTTTATGTGAACGCCGTACCAGCACGAATTGTTGATGGCCGGTGATGTCTGCTGAGGCCTAAAAGCGTACAAGAAATGTTGCCGCTGTGCTTCTGTTAATGACCAACACTATAATGGCACAATCTCTTTGGCAGCGATTCAGTCCAAACCCATTACCTGTCTTTCCAACGGTCCTTTGAATCCCAAATTAGCTGCCATACGTAGCGCCTGGTCATCTCGGACCCCCTCGAAGATATCTATGACTTCCTGAGGCAATAGATGGAAGAGAGAAAGCAAGAGAATACCAACCATCAGCCAAAATTTGACACAAAGCGGACGTTCGTATTAAAATCAAGAGAGACGCAATTAAGCGCTGGCACGCAGCCAACCTCAAACGGGAAAAAGACGAGAGCCGAAGAACAAAGATCACTCACATACAGAGATAGACACACACAAGAGAGAGAAAGCAAAAAAAAACAGAAGACATCACAAACAGCTACAAGAATGAGAAGCAGCTTCTACATGTCTTAATATGAGTCTATCTGTGGAAGATATCCATTAAAGGAGTCCTATCATAATTTTTTTTGTTAGTTTTTTTTTTTTATCTGTGGTTTACTTATAATGGTGGACATGGCTTTTATGTGCATTTAAGCCTTGTGTGCAAAAAATTAGGGTATGCATCCTTTTTGACAAATTAAAATCCATGCCCTTTTCAAGACATTAGTGCTTAATAATGGCTACATTTTCAAAGAGATTTCAGGGCATTTCAACTCTAAAAATGTAAGAATATTATATAGTTATCCAAAAAAACAAACAAAAAACCCTGCGATTTTAGTGAAGGATCTGGCTTTATGCATTTCAATGGGTATGTCAACTGTTTGATTATCTGCGCTTGAATTGTTTAGCTCTTTTTTGTAAATGTATTGTAATGTGTTGGATATTATTTATATGTAATGTCTGGTATTGTTTGGTGATGCAGCAGTTCACTAACCAAAGAAAATTTCTACCATGGGAGACAATAAAAAATCTTAACCTATACCAGAGACATTTATTATAGACATTACCAGAACTTTTAGATATTACATTTCCATACATTTTCCTTGTCAATTTTACTTTTAAAATGGTTCATTCAATAAATAAATAGTATATTTGCTTCTATATTTTGTTTCTAGAAACTTAAAGGGGTCATATGATGCGATTTCAAGTTTTCCTTTCTCTTTGGAGTGTTACAAGCTCTTGGTGCATAAAGAAGATCTGTAAAGTTGCAAAGACTAAAGTCTCAGATCCAAAGAGATATTCTTTTATAAAAGTTAAGAGTCAACCACGCCTACCTAAAATGGCTCGTTCTAACGCGCCCCCACATATCTACGTCACTATGTGGAAATATTAGCATAATGCCACCCAAATGTGCACGCAAAGAAAGAAGGCTTGGTTTCAGGAACAGCACTCGTGTTGATGCAGCCATGTCAGGGAGACGGTGTGTGTAAGCAAAAGCACTTTATTTGGCCTT